CGAGAGACAGCACAGCTGCAACTGGCATGTCATGACAAATAGCCCGTATTCAGAAAACCAGAATGACAGGCATTCCAAGCATGAAAAATCCAAACAGTTTTAATAACTGTGAACTCAAAACCCACTACTACAGAATCAATAACTTCTTTGAAGGCACAGTGACACTTATATATGGTTAAGACTTGAATGCAGAAATTTGGTTGTTTGGAAAGATAATTAAACTTCCATCGTGCTCAAATAGAATTACAAAAAGGCAAAATTGTGTTGTTGTTGTTGTTGTTGTTGTTGTTGTTGTTGTTGTTTTATAGAGATACAGTCCACTGAAATCACCAATAATGGACAGCTGTTAAAGAGTGTTAGAGTCCTGAGATAATAAAAAATCCAGACATCCTTTACACAGTCTTCCGTTGTCCTTTCTTTGCAATCAGACACTTGCGGATATGTGGGATGATACCACCTCCCACAACTGTAGCTTTGATGAGTGAGTCCAATTCTTCATCCCCACGAAGGGCAAGGTGCAAGTGTCGAGGGGTAATGCGCTTTACTTTCAGGTCTTTGGATGCATTTCCTGCCAGTTCCGACCATGGCTGGTTGTCCTGGACTTCAGATGTGGATGGATGTGGCCCATGGGGAATTGCAGGCCTGCCCCCTGTGAGAGGAAACTGCCTTTGTCTTGGCCTTTCCGGAGTCCTTCCTGCCTTCCTGCCAGCCTTTTCCAATTTTGCTGAGGTGCAAGCAGGCAGGCAGTGAACAGGCCGGTTCCACATGCAAGGCCCACTCCTCCACCTCACCGCGATTCAAACTACCTGTGCTGCCACTTTAAAAGTCTCTTCATTTAACACTTTTCAGAGTAGACATTCATAGCCGGATAATCAAAACAGACCTCTAGTAGACAACATTTACTATTTTTTTAAATCTAGGTTTATCTTCTTTAATTCAGACTTATCTACCAAAACCAAGATTCAGTGAGACAGAAATCACTAGTCATAGTAATGAGAAACTGTTTTCATACTATTTTTCTCAGCCATTTGGTGAAAGAGAAGGATCAAAAAGAATCAAGACAAGCAACAATTGGAGCAGGAAAAATAATAGTCAGAGAGATGCTCTAAATAAACCAGACTATTTTTAAAGAAAAGTGCAGCACTCTACCTCAGTTGTTGGCTTAGCTACATATCCCTGATGTAGCCTACAGGCAATGTTCAGAGAGCAAGGGAACCAGCGATCAGAGAAGACTGCTCTGTGAGGACTTCCTCCTGCTTTGTAGTTGCCTGTCTCTCATCTCAAACCTTTTAGAGAGGAAAAAAAATGAAAACAAACAAACAAACAATAAAAAAAAGTAAACCTAAACTCTCTATTCTTATTTTCAAATCCGTAAAATGCTCAATTCACTCTTTCTACTCATTTCTAAAACCCAACTTAGAAGGCTTCACCAGAAGACAGTTCCTGACATTCCTAAGCAGATGTTCCTGGTTGCCCAGGACAGAAAACATTTACAACTGCATTTTCCAGTTGTAAAAGTTACCTCTTTATGTATGAGAGTCTTCTTTTAGACCATGAACTGCTCAAGGGATCTTTCCAATCTCTGTGTTCCTAGAATTACTCAGTGGCTGGCTCAGGGGGTGCAGTTGTTGTACCTAACTGAATAAAATCAGTCTGCTTATTATGTCTGTCTGTTTTCCTTTCATCATCCCCTTGCACAAAATCTGTGTTCCAAACACACTGTCAAAGATTTTGGAAAAATGCTATCCCAGCTCTTTGCAAATGGTATATATTCTGACTGGGGTGATTCTTCTGACTTATTTTGATGAATTTCTATTGTGCTTTGAAAGTGAGTTCACACTTTTATAAGTATTTTGGATATATTCTCATGGATATGTGCCTGTTATGATTATGTCAATATTTCATTCTAGAATGTCCTACAGAGGCAACAAACTGTTTTTAGCTTATATTAATTTGACCCCAACTCTCTAAGAATATGTATTTTATTATGAATTCTACTCTTTCCTCTACTCAAATCCAAATGGAAGACAAGTTTTTAGTACAACATATATATTTATATTTTCCTAAATTACATAAGAAATATGTTAACACATTATTCCTGTAAAGAAAAGGAACCCATAATAGGTGAGGCTGAACTTTATTTATCACTTTCAGTTTTGATAAATTTGTTTTTTCTTCAGAGTAATCCTCTTTCTGCAATTCCTTCTAAGTATTTTCATAAATAAAGACCTTAAATACATACATTGACACTCTTTTTAAAAGGGCAATGTAAGTCATTGTTTTACATTTAATGGTGCCATGTTAAATTGTTACTTTGCAATATTTACTCAGTAATTATCCTTGAAATCTTTCTATATATGGATAGATTTGTAACTGTTACTCAGGCTTTCATGAAGTCAAGCAGAAATCCTAATAAATCTGACTCAGGTACTCTTTTCTCATTTCTAGGACAAATACCCAACACCAAAAATTAGGGAAGGAAAAGTTTATTTAGCTCAGTTACTTGGAGGTTTCAGTCCATACTCAACTGGCTTCAAGGCAAAGTGGCACATGACAGAGAACAACCTTTCATGGTGACGGCAAAGAGCAGAGAGCAAAGGGAGTGACAGCAGCTCAGACAGCTAGCTGGCCTCTCTCCCCTCCTTATACTGAATTGGAAATTACCTGCCCCAGGGCAGTTGCAGCACCCATACCCACAACAATCAATTACAAACTCCAGAAGCTTCCTCATGACTGCATGAGGCTTTGGGGGGACAACTGTGCACAAACCTTAACAACATCTAAAAAATTGTAGGAAGAGTTAGAGGTATCACCAATAAACTATCTTGTCTCAGCTTATTCTAAATTGTGTCTTAGCCTCAGGAATCCAGAGAGTAAACAGTGGGGACCACTGCAGAAGCATTCCATCTTAATGACTTTTTACTAAAAGCAACCCCATTTTTGCCTTGAAAGCCCTGTGACTCTCTTCTCCCTTCTCAGTTCATTTAACTAGAAAAATGTAATCTGTACCCAGGACCCTCAGGAGCTGTAAAGATGCAGCTTTCAGCTATTTACTGTACCATAAAAAGAGGACCCAGAATGAGGATGCATGACTCTGCTCACTCACTGTATCTACTAGAACTTCATTCTTTTCAACACCTGCATAATACTCCATACATTGATATACCAGTTTATTTAAAAATTCTTGTTTGAATAATTTCCTTCCATTTTTTGCTATTGCAAATTTTGTAATAAATGTCATATGTTTTGTTTGAGCACATGTGCTAGGATAACTATTTGGTCATGAAAGTGGTTGGGGATAAGGTGGAAATAGTTTTTGAAATAATCACTGTCAAACTGTTCTCTAAAGTTGCTTTCTCAGTTGTAACTCCAGTCATCCACATATCAGTGTTCATTTTTCTGTATTTCCACCACATCTTGAAACAGCAAATATTTTTAACTTCTAAAACATTTTAGTAAAATTGTATGATGGTTTTACTTTATATTTTTATAATTATCACTATTAAGATCAGTCATCTTATTTACTTTGTATCATCTGGATTATAAACACCGTGAGAGTGTATATACAAATTGCAATATTATTTTTGCCTTCAAATTCAAACAGCTTACACTGAGGTGATGGGACATCTCATCCACAGGACAAATTTAAATAGAAATGGAAATCACAGCAGATGACTAAACTCCAAATGAGTACTGATGACAGTAAATGATTACAGGTCAGAGATTTAAAAAAACAAATAAAAAATGTAAAGCTTTACAAGGAAGTCTTCATGAAAGAATTGGCAACTGACTGCATTTGTGAAGGATGAATAAACACCAGAGGGCAGAAACAATGATCAAGGGAGTGTAAGGAAAATGAATAAATTTATGAGGGTAGGGAGCACTTGCTAGTCAAGACAGATGACCACAACAAATCTCTCAAGTCATCAGGGTTTAAGCAAAATCATTGTTAAGACAGCACAATGTTCTGGTATTTGTGAAAATACTTGATTTACATGAATGCATTTGACACAAGAGCCTTCCATTTGTGGTCCTTTTCTCCCACATTTTCACCTCTGACAAATTGAGCCAGGCATTGAAATAGAGGCCAGGTCCTTTCTATTACTTCATACTACTATGGATCAAGGTGAATAAAGAGAGACGATGTTCCAAGAGGCATGGAGTAGCAGCAAAAGAGGTTCATACTTTTTCCAAAGAGCAGCTAAAAATTTGAAAGTTTCTGTAAAATATAAAAATGCCACAGATCTGTGCTTTAGGATGACTAACACCAGTTAATGTCATCATTCAGGCCTCTGCTTAAAGCAGACAAGCTTCCTTCTTCAAGAAGCCCATTATACAGAGAGCCACCCCCAACTCACTGCACTCTCCACAATCATCCTACTTCATTTTCCTCATAGCATATATAATTAGCTTGCATTAAATCATGTGTTCGCTCTTTTGTTAATGTTTGTCTGCTTTTTCCATTGAGTCCATTAAGTCCATGTAGCCAGGAACTTTTAATACACTTACTGTTCAATTAGTAAAACATACTAATTTAGTAAAACATATTTATTTAGTAAAACAGCTGTCTGATGGTTAACCAGTTCATTTTCCTGTAAAGAATTAACAAAACAGAATTGTTTCTTACTTCAGAAACTTCTTTTTCTTCTGTAAATCCATTTCTAAAAAGATGTGCAGAGAACTCCAGTGAATATATTTCTTAATTGAACCTGTTTTGAATGAGTAATGACATAGAATTATTTATCCAAAACAAGAGAACTGAAGTTGTTTTGCAGAGACCGCCTTAATGGGGAGAACTGGTTTCACTGAGGAGGAACTCAAACCATGGAAACCCTCAGCGCACCTGAGTCAGACCCTGACTCACCTATCTGTGGTGGTTTTTTTGGGTGGGTCTCTCAGATGACCAATCTAAGTAATATCCATTGTTTTTTTTTTTTTTTCTAAGCATCCAACTGAGAGAATTTTCATTTCTTCTTTTAAACCACGTATCTACAGCTGTCATCAACTTGTTAAACAAGTTTCCTCTTAATTGCTTTCTGTTACTGCACCCAGCCCTTAAAATCTCAATTATCCTTATGGTTAGCACATTTACTGGCAAGGACAAGTAGAGTGAAGAAGTTTCCTGTATTTTTATCAATAGCACCAGACATCCCATCAGCACACCATGTATAGGTAAGTGGAAGTTTGCTTGCTTAAAATTCTGACATGAATGGAGTTAACATTGTTTTGCCAACATGACTCCTATTGAAGGGTGGCAGCAAAGCAATTGAGTTCAGGCAGGAAATGTGCAGTTTTCCTACAGCATTTTTAATTTTCTGCCCGGAGCCAACCTTGTCACAAACATATACTTGTGTGCAGAATCTAACATTTTAAATAATTATCTGGGGACTGCTGTAGAAAAGTCACATGGAGCCTAGTATCCTGTGAATTAAAAATAGTGTGAAGCTGGGTCTATCATCATCTGGTGAGAAGGTAGAAGAAAGAACAGTTTCTTCTTAGAAATCAAATGTAAATTGTTGGTAATGATACTATAACTTTCTTGTTTCTTTCAACATCTCACGTTTTCTGCAGAGCTCTTATGAGTCTCACAGTACCACTGCTGTGTAGAACATCTCTGTAGAGTCAAATAAAATCCATATATGTTTACCAATTAAATGTTCATGAACCAGAATACTATGATTATGTATGAACATGGGCTATCTCTGTTAAGGATATCTAGATAGATAATGATGACAAAATTTTAGGAAGATGCTTTCAGCTTTCAACAAATTCTCAAAACATGTAAAACTATCAAAATTAACTGACTCTAATCTTAACATATTTACTAGTCAGATAAATGTATAGCTGACATAATATTTATCTAAAATGTATATCATTCAATATATGTAGGGGGTGAATAGCTGAGCCTTCATTTATACAAGCAAACAACATATATATATATATATATATATATATATATATATATAATCAGTATTCATCTATATTATGATTAGAAGAGGAATACTCACTGTGATAGAATCCATTAATATTATTTTCTTCAATTATTGTTGTATGTTTATTTTATTCAAGTTGTTATTTCATTTATCACCCTGATGTTTTCTTATTGTTCACATCATTCATTTGTCAATAAAGTAATAAAATAATATTAAAGTGGAAAATGAAAGCATGATTGATTTGTTCTGCTTTGCCCATGAGACGCTCAGCACATTAATATATACAATGTGATTTGTTTGAAGGATGCGTCCCTCTTTCCTTTCACCATTTTACACTTGTATGATGCCGTAAACTTGAAAGATTTTAAAAGATTAAGCCATTGTCTACATGAACTACTAGTTCCTCTGGACAGATTTGGCTGCTTGTTCTGTGACTATCTTCTCAGAATGAGGCATTAATCCAGTTACACAGCTGACCTCCTAGGCATTTGGGAATATGGCTGATTCTGCTGGTTTGTTTGAGACCCTGCTGAACTTTGTGACTGCATATGGGTGCTTAGGTGATGACTACTTCAAAAGAAAATGGAAGCACCAGAATTGAAAGTAGAGATTTCACAAATTTTATAAATTTTGAACTTTTTCTTAGAACCATATTACCAAGTGGAAAAAGTCTCAGAAGAAAGCTCTGCTTTTGATCCTTGCAGAAGTAACTGAGAAGTTCAGGTCTAAGAGTTTTTATAACAGGATATGATATATCCTGGGTATGTCCTCCCAGTAATGATTTTCAGAAAAACTTATATGCAAATTACCAGAAATGCAATAATAGCAGAGTAAGTTTTCTGCTTCAAAAGTATTTGGGTTGTTTGTGTTTGTTTGTTTGGTTGGCTCAGGGGATCAAACTCAGGACCTTGAACTTTCTGGGAAGGTGTTTATGCTGCTCAGCTATCTCCCTGGCCCAATTATCAGTCATTTCAAGCAGTTCTTTCCTCTCTGTCAGGATTTGTAGGGCTTTAGGTTATGTAGGGCTTTAGGTTATTATGTTTCAGGCCAGTAAAACATCTGAGCTGTGTGATCAGAAATAATCAAGGTAGAAAAAGGGAAAGGAATAGAATCTTAAAATCTTATAGTAAATTTAGTGAAATAAAATGGAAAATTAAGAAGTCATTTTATCCTTCTGCTTTCAAACCATAGTTTTTAGGCGAATCCTAAATTGCCATTTTTATATTTTTCATTTTTAAAATTTTATAAATGAATTTTTATTGTATTTTTAGATGTAGATTTTATGTTTTTATAAGAATATATCCTGAAAGACTTCTTTTGAATTAAAACTTTACAAATAAAACTAGCCAAACAAAAGCTATAACTATATCCTCCACTAAGAAAGATGTAATTAGAAAAATAAGCAAATAGTAGAAGCCTAGAGGAAGCAGAGATTTGAACAATGGGTGTGGTGTACTGTGCATGCAGTGAGTGTGGTTGTCTCTGTGAAGCGGGATGCTTATGCAGCAAGCTAAGTGCTGACACACACTAAGAGGTCAATAGCATTGTGAATTTCATATTAAATAAGCAAAATAAAATAAAATAAGCAGACTAAAGCGCCTGCTTAGGCAGAGCTCAGGGACTGGAATTCTATCCCTGCCACCACAAGCCATGCCAGCGCTGCACCCAAGGCACACTGAGACAGTGACTGAGACAGGGCATGGTGGCAAGTGCCTGTAATCCCAGCGCTTGGGAGGCTGAAAACAGGAGTATCACTACGAGTCCGATCTACGTAGTGAGACCCTATAGATTCGATACTAAATACATTTTAAAAAAATAAATAAGCAAAAATTTGTAATATAAAGGGTTGTAATCTTGGAAGACATCAAGCAGTGAGAATGTAAAACTGAGAAAGCATGTTAGGGTTTTTAGTCCCCATTAGATTACAAATGACATTGTTAGTCTTGGAAGAAAAACATTAATTTTATACAAGAAACACTCTAATACACTGATCCACTTTCACAGGCTTCACTCTCCCCTGTTTGAGATGACACCTAAGTTTATAGCCGCAACTCTGGTTCAGGTAACTACCAGTCTCACAGACTCAGCAATGCACTGGAAATTTATGGGCCTTTAAACTTCAGGATATAAAATTTTACATTTTTTCCACCAAAATAGCTCATTTTACTTTCTCTTATTCTTCTGGTAAAATCAATGTCATCTTCACCATAGTCCTAATCTTTAGGAATATGATTATCAAGTTCTGGCAAATATTCTGGCCTTGTAAAGTTCCTCAAGTTCTTTATTCTTTACATTTATAGTATTGTTACTCCAGTCTGATGGATTTTAACAGTATCTTTCCTCACTGGTCTTCTCCTCTCATTTCTCCTTTCTTTCAAATGTGATCATACACACACAGTCAAATTCATTTCCTAAACATGTCAAGCCCTCATGTTCATCATTTTCACAGGACAAAGGTAAAATTCTCCTGACTAGCTCCAAGACCTTTACATCATCTGGATTCCTCTATTCTAGTTTCTCTCCCAAATGCAGCTGTCCTTCCTTGCCCTTGTCTTCCTTCGTTTGTGTGTGTAACTAATGTTGTCTATGATGCTGGGCTACAGACCACAATATTCTAGTGGCTAGACGTAAAAACCTGACACATATAAATTTTTAAAATCCTAAATGTAGGGTCCTAATAGAGTTGCTGAAAGAGGCATCAGTGAAGAGGAGATGACAAAGCAGAGTGGTGAGGTTTAGTGGCAACTCAGCGGGCAGACTTAAGGTGTGCACATCAGGCACGAGGAACAGGGTATACAAAGACGTGGGATGTGAAGGAGTCTGGTGGGTTGGGAGAAACCTGATAAATTTGAGATGATCAGAACACAGCTACTCAAGAGTGAGGTGGAAATAAATAATAAATAAAAATAAAAATATGCGGAAAAAGAAAAAAAACAGCGAGGGCTAAGAGGGAAGGGTGTGGCATGAAGCAGAGGCATGGGCACTTTCCTTGCACAAATGTGAGGGAAAGACACATTGTGGTAGATGTGTGACAAGTTCCTGCATGTGATAGTGGAATGATGAATGTTCTTCTCTAAATATTTCTGTTTTCTTGGTGGAATAAAAGTAGTATCAGATAAGAGTAAAGATAGGTCAAATGGTGATGAAGGTTTGAGAAAAATGTAAGAAATTATTTCTCTACAAGAGCTATAAAACATCAATAGAGGAGAGATTTTTTTTAAATCTTCTGAAAGCACCAACCCAGTTTATCTTTACCTTTGATCAATACATTATGCACACTGCCTCCAATTGCTACTTCCAATCTGAAATTTCTGACAATCATGTCTTGAGAGTTAAAGTTTAAAGTACAAATCTGTAGGCTCTTCCAAGAATTCAAATTCAGTAGATGTGGAGTAACGTCTTACTCTGTGCAATTACTTAATAAGCACCCTGAGAAAATTCTAATTCATGTCACTCTCTAGTCACACTCAAAGAAGTCCAGTGAGGGAAGTCAAAATCCCAAGGTCTTCTTGTGCTGTCCAGGGTCTTGTTGCCAGCTCTCTTTGTTACTCAGTCAGGGATCCCCTGAGAAACAGAGCCACTAGGAGATGGAGACAGAGAATGAGGCAGACAGAAAGAGATTTAAATCTATGTAACTTTATATACTTAAATTTATCTATAAACATGTATATACACAAACACACAGACACACATGAGCACCTTGACAGGATTATTTTAAGCATACACACCTGGGAGGATGGCAAGTTTAAAGAACATGGAAACAGCTGGCACCTGGAAATAGGCAGGATTCAGTGTGGTTATGTCAAGGCAGAACTTCTTCCCGAACATCAGCATTGGCTGACAAAGCAGATTGGAAGAAGCTCATTCACACTTTCAGAGGTGATCTCCTGAGTCAGCGGATTGTACTCTAATGACAGCCATGGAAACTGATCACAACATCTAGGTCAATGTTTGACCAAACAGCTGGATGCTGGCGTCCAACTAAAGCTGACACATCACATAAGCCATCAAGCTGTCCACTCTCATCTGTGGCCAATTTATGACCCACAGTGAGCTATAGAAAACAAATGAATCACTGATCATTCTTCCAGACCTGCACATGGGTCCTTCTTCCAGAATGTGTTCCATTCTTCTTTGACTGTGATACCCTCACAGGTCCTTATAGCCACCAGAGCAGAGGCTCAAAACAACTTATGCAAAACAGTAAAAAGATGCAGCTTACTGTAGATGCATGATTTTTTTCCATAAAGATTCCTTGGGCCCACAGTAATGAGCTGAAACACACAAACACTACCCTAACATATGCATTACTATGTATTTGTGTGTTTTCTTTGTACACAAGAGCATAGTAAATAGTATAGGATCACACTTGTACTTTAAAAATCATGATGGCTTAGGGGCCGGGGAGATGGCTCAG